ACGAAGATGACCGGTGCTCCCCAAGGAGACACACTCGGCCGGATGAAATCTTTCGCTGAAAGATCCTCAATATGCTTCTTCAGCTCAGCCAACTCCGGTGGCGACATCCGATATGGAGCTAAAGAAATCGGTCCCACACCAGGCAACAAGTCAATGGAGAATTATATCTCCCGCTGTGGCGGAAACTCAGGAATCTCCTCAGGAAACACCTCGAGGAACTCCCCCACCACAGGAATGCCAGTGATATCCTCCATTGTCCCACTCACCAAACCTCCCAACATGACATAACCAAATGCCCCTGCTCTCAAGGCCTTCCTAGCCTGCAGCAATGAAATATATGGCGAGGAACTAGCTGTGGCATCACACGGAGACATCACCACGCGCTTTGCACAGCAATCAATCAGTGCTCAGTTTCTAGACAACCAATCCATGCCCAGAATAATCTCCAAGTTGGCCATCGACAATCCTATCAGATCTACCGAGAACTCCCAGCCATCCCACTGAAACGCTACATCGCGATGCACAGTGGTAGAAACACATATTTCTCCGGTGACGGTAGTCACCCGCAACGGTGGAGAAAGCACAGACATGGGCAACTCAAGCCCCAAAGCAATCGGGGTTGCAACAAATGAATGTGTAGCCCCGGAATCAAACAATACATCAACAGATGAGTCACCAATAGATACAGTACCTCTGACAAGGTTCGGAGCGCGGTCCGACTGTTGTCTATCCAAGGTGTACACACGCCCAACAGAAGGTGGCACCGCAGGTGCCGAAGTAGAAGCCATCGGAACCATCTGCAAAGGAACTGCCTGAACAGCTACAGCTCTCGCCGTCGACGACGGACAGTCTCTAGAGAAGTGGACCTCCTTGCCACATTAGAAGCAGATCAACTGACCCGAAGCACAACGGCCAGCATGCTCCTTTCCGCACCCCGCACATCTCGGAGTGGAAGGAGGCCTAGCAAAACTCCCCTGCTGTGAAGCAGTCCTCTTGAACTGACCAGGCGCCTGTCTAGTCGTCAACTGTTTACCCTTGCCCTTCCCAGCAAACTTCATGTCCTTCCAAGAAGTAGAAACAGGAGTGGAACAAACAGTTCCCTTGGTCTCGTCGACCTTGGCCCTCTTAGCCTTACTCGCTATGCAGACATCCTCAATGTCCTTACACTGCTGAACCAGTGTACCAAAGTCCCTCGAAGCAGCTCCCGCAATATGCTCAGCAATCACCTCACTAAGTCCTCTGCGAAACTTAGCAGCAAGAAACATCGGAGTATGAGGAACCATCCGGAAGTGCGCAAACTTCACCAGCTCATTGAACTTGGCCAAGTACTCGTCAACAGTCATCGAGCCCTGAACAAATCTATCAAGCTCCCCCTGCTTCCTCTCCTGCGCATCGTAGGGAAAGTATCTGCCGAAGAAGCATTCCTCAAAGAATGGCCAAGTCAAAACACGACCCTGCATCTCATAAGCACGAGAGGTGTTCGTCCACCACTCATGGGCATCGCCCTCCAGCATGTAAGTCGAGAACATCAGCTTCTGTGGGTCTGTGCACTGCATGACCCGAAATATCTTGTCCAGCGACTCCAGCCATCTCGCCGCAGCAATAGGATCCAAAGACCCTTCAAACACAGGTGGCTTATGCTTCTTGAAAGCATTCAGCCAGCGATCTATCACATCACGATCCTCAGCAGGCTCTACAAGAGTCTCCCTCGTCTCAGCGACGTGAGCAGCACTGCCAATGTGACTCAGGCTCTCATCCTGAACACTAGGTGGAGGCGGCGACGGTGGTGGCGGTGCTAACTGGCCTGCAGCAAGACCAGCCCTCATCTCCTCCAACATGACTCTCATCATCGTCATGTTCGTCATCCTGTTCGCCTCGAGGACATCCTCAGTGGTCCTCCGGTTCGCTTCACGAACCTCTTCTGCGGCTAGCCGGTTCGCCTCGCGAGCAGCATCCATCATTGCCGCATTGGCCAATCTAGTGCCCTCCTGATCGGCTAACCTAGCCGCCTGCATCTCAGCCAATGCAGTCAGGATAGGATCGGGTTGATCCTCAGAAGTCTCTCGTGTTCTCCCGGATCTTACCATGACTCTGCACAAGTTACACAGATTATGAGTTGATCAGGCCCACGCAGTGTGATTACATATGCATTATCATAATAAAATTCGACGGAGTAAACACACAAGACAAACATAATCAAACATCCTAGCTATTGCAATACATACAAGCTTTTCCCTCGAACCATTGCTCTGATACCATAAATGTAACACCCCGTATATATCCGGTAATGTTATCATAATATCGTATTAAGCTGCGCTTAATTAAAAATGCGGAATTACTTTTTTTTTTCAATTATGATGTCATTAACATTACCAACTTGCTTATTATTTAATTAATAAAACATCGCCTATATTTAATTGCAATAAAACAGCTAACTAAAATACCTCATAACATAGATAATATAAGTGTGTCTCTAGAAATCACGGGACTACCATAAGTAGGCCGGACCAACTAGCAGGTTATACAACTCCAATCTAAAAGTACTAACATAAAGTGTCATGGACAATCCTCATGCTCACTCAAATAAGGCAACAAGTCCAACATCAGTCTCAACAACAACATAATCATAAAAACGAGAAACATAAACAACATCCAAATCCAGTCATGGCAGCAATACAGCGTAATATCATAATCAGCTAAGCTCTGGCCTCCTGCCGCCAGAGGCATCAGTCACCATACTACCTGAACCTGAAATAAGCATTCCCCAAACGTGGGACGAGATCTCTAAACAAGAAATCTCAGTAAGACAAGGGGTCTTCAAGGATCTTCCACCCCAAGCTCACTTACATGTGCAATATAAGTTCAAAAGCAGTTTATCATCATCAGTTCTAAAATAGTGCAATGCAGCAGATAATCATGTCATGTGTGTCAATTCTATTCTACTGGCCAGAGAAATGCAAGATTTATATACGCTAAATACCCACACATAGTGCAAGACGCCACTTGCATTCACCCCCGATCACCATATCGTATGACGCCACATACTCAGGCTTACCGTCAAGATGAAACAACACATGCATATTAAAAGCCATTACACATAAAGCTCAACAACATTTCAAATATTCAAAGCATGTAACACAGCATGCATATAACCACACCCCCATGGGACATGGTGGAACCACAACATGGCTAAACCGAGGACACGAAAGCTTACCTTGAAAGCTAACTATCCAATGCCAAGAGTCCACACAAGCTCAAGGCCCACAAACAACACAATCACAATATGCCCATACCATAATTAATCATCAATAATCATAGCTCAGATTCCATTAAGTGATTAAGTCCTTCTTACTCATTTTAACTCATTACATGTTGTTTCTGCATGAAGTATTCGAATACTCCACGAGTAGTATTCGAATACTCCAGCTCTCCAGAAAGTATTCGATTACTTTCATTAAAGTATTCGAATACTCACAAGTATCCGAATACTTTTCCCCCAGTATCTGCATACCTCAGTATCCGAATACCAAACCTTATTGTATTCGAATACTTTTTAGTATTCGAATACTTCTTCAAAGGTATCCGAATACTTTTCTTCCCAGAAAAGTATTCCAATACTCCAGCAAGGAGTATTCGATTACCATGAACAAGTATTCAAATACTACACGAAAAGTATTCGAATACTTCTTCAACAAAATGCAGAAATTCGAGCCAACTTCTGCATAATCCCAAATTTAAAGGTGCAAAAGCGATTGGGAGTCCAATGACTCCCTAAACAGATATAACCCAACATGCTATGAACCCAGAAACACATTCCTTTACTCAAATGGTTAAAGTTCCTCTTTTAAATTGATTAAACAAGCTTTAAACCTCAAAATGACAAAGAGTGTTCATGGTATACCTCCAAGGCACCAAAACTCCGAAAATGAGGCACACAAGGGACACTCTACACAGCACCAAGGTTCTGACTTGAGCAAGACACGAATTGGACTACCAAGCTTGATCCTTTAAGCCAAAAGGTAGCTTCTTGAAGCTCAAGAAACCAAGAACAAGCCCCACTCACACAAACTCAGAAGGAACAGCCCCAAAAACGCCCAATACACAACAAGCATCAACTCAGAAATGCTTCACAACTCCCTCACACTGTTTACAAGCTTAGTGTTTACAACTCTTAGGAAGAAAACTCTCAACAAAGGTGACTTCTTGGTCCCTTTTCATGAGCAAAGGTCAAGAGTTCAAGGGGAGAAGAGAAGGCTGAAGGGAAGTCAGCAAAAGACTCACGTAGGCAGCCTCCAATATGGCCTAGGGTTTAGTGCCATTAAGCATTTATAGGTCCACTTAAAATACAACACAATATTAACAATAATAGCTACGCTTATCATTTCAATCCCAAACTTAGGATTCTGAACCTACTCAATTTTACAAGATTTATCATATTTTTCTTATAATTTTCGGAGCACCTTTCTGATACGCGCTTTTCCATAGCCAGTATCAGTTCTGGCATCAGTTCTCATTATTTTGACTTGAAACTCGTTTTACAAATCCTATATATTATTTTCATAATATATAATCACTTTTCCTAATTTTTCGGTATACTTTTCCGGTACACATTTATACCGACTAGCAGAACCGGTATCTGCATTTTTCTTCCGAAAAGAGACTTTCAACATTATAACTCACTAATTATAATTATTAAAGCCTGATAATAATTATTAGGGTCAATTATGGAATCATTTCCTAATTTCACATAATTAACTAATTAAATTATTTAATTAACAGTGCAGGTTCTTACAAATTCCCACATTACCGAATCATCCAAACTGCACGAGTTTCAAAATTCACAAAAATAAGTGATAGTATATTATTATTAGAGTTTAGCCAACTTATTTGTTGGCCAGTGTATATAACTTGACGTCATTCAAATGAAAAAATGACAAATAATTTAAAACATAAAAGTGATATTAGTGAAACACCTCTAACAAAAATTCTAAAGAGTATATTTTAATGGGAACTCCTCTGTAATTTAAAACATGATATTTTAATACAAATATTGCAATGAACTGTAGCATGAAAGAGTAGAATAGCTCTAGCACTGTAGACATGAAATTTAATCATATATGACTTGGATTCTTTTGTTGTTTTGCACGATGGGGTTGTCATTTGCAGATTCAGTCAAGTATTAGGCCAGCTGCCTCCTCCTCTGGCTTGTACTAGCTTTCCCCTCCCGTGCAACTCTCAAACAATCAATCAGATTTTTCATAAATTTGACATATCAATAATCATTTGCAATGCCTCAATCAAATAATATGAACAAGCGAACAACAACATAGGAGCACGTAAATTTTATTTTTCTTGAATTCATGAAATATAGTTATAATAATAAACTGAATATACATGAACATTTATAACTTACATTCACTTTTAAAAATATTATTCTCCTCTGTAACAAAAATTAACACAGACGGAGCAGCCAAGTCTAACGGTGGAGAAGCTGCTTGTGGTGGGATCATAAGGGATGAGACTGGTAGATGGATTCAAGGCTTCACTTATCATATTGGTAAGTGTACAACTTTTGTTGCTGAACTTTGGGGTGTCCTAAAAGGACTTGAACTGGCCTGGAAAGGGGGTTGGAGACGCTGTTTATTAGAAAGTGATGCCAGCTCAGTAATCACTTTGCTCACCAAAAGAGGGGGAGCAGCTCGAGAGTCTCGTTTAGTGACTCACATTCGAGCATGGCTACAGAAAGATTGGGAGGTTCAGTTGACACATGTCTTCAGGGAGAGTAATGGTTGTGCAGACTGACTATCCAAATATCCCCTGAATCAACCTGCGGTGAATAATGTTACTTTTTTTGATTCCCCTCCCCCTGGGATTTTTCCGTTGTATTTGGCTGATTTTTCTTTGGTTTGTAATTCTCGTAGAATTTATTTAAACTGAGTTGTGTTTGGGGCTGTTAGCTCCTCTTTATTTACGAACACCCAACATGAAGTTTTTACTGTATATTTTTTTAAACTTATTTTTTTAAAAAAAAATTCTATATTATTTTATAAACATGAAGTTTTACTGTATATTTTTTTATAACTTTGTAATCCACATATTCCAAATTCTAATTATATCCATGATTATTGTTGACCATAATAGCCTCAATAGCCCCAGAATCATCGAAAGAGTTATCCTTGGTTTTAACTGAACACATTGTCTTGCACCGGTGCATTCTCTTGTGCCTACAAATTCATTATCAGAAATTCGAATAATCTTTCATGTGATTCAAGAGAATAGCAATTAACTAAATGTAAATGGCAGTAGTACAAGTACAAGCACAAACACAAGGATTACCAACTTGAGAGGCAATGGTCGCTCAGAAACCGCATGAGAAAGGGATATAATCGTCGCAGCTTGTTGTTGCTCCATCAAAGGGGCATTCTGTAAAACAAAACTTACTTTAAATATCAAATCAAATCAGCGCAAATAGCATCGCAAATCTGATCCATTACAGAGTGAGGTTTAGATTTATTTAAAAACAAAGAAATCAATTAAGATGATATAATTGAATATAAAAGCGGGTTCAAAATACGAGATCTAGAAAATCCAGACAATTACAGTGAAGAAAAATTAGGGGAAAAAATGAAAGTGGAAGGGTGGATTGAGAGATTGTGATTGTGATGAGGGAAACAAAAGAAAGGTGACCTGTTCCCAAGTAGAAGCGAAATTGTAACCCCTTGAAATGGCAGCTGAATTAGGTAATTCGAATTTTTTCAATTTTCAATAATTCTTGCTACATGATTTTTATGTCTGAAAAATTGAAACTATAAATTATAAAGAATTTGAAAGCGAGAACTTAATCAATGATTGATAAAGATCTTACCAATGGTGGAGAAGAGAAGCCCGAGAGGAAGAAAGAGAATGAAGCATGGCTGCTATTTTTGCAAATAAAACACAAATCCAAACCGTACAAGAGAAAGAGAGAAATTAAGAAATTAGAACGAAACAATAATCAAAATATTATCAAAAAAAAGAAAAAAAGAGAGATGAAGAAACCAAAACAGCAAGTGAATGAGTGCTACGAACCTAGCGCGAGACTGAGTTTTTCATAAAGAGACAGGAGAGCGAGAAACAAAGGTGTAGTGGCATACTGGCATTTCAAGAGTATAATAAAGTTGTAAATTTTAAAAGGCCGTGGTTAAAACTTGGTGGATAAAGGCCGTTTTTGTTGTAGTGTCACTTGAATTAGAAATTATAAAAAATCTTATTATCTTATGACTAGTTGGAGTGCTATAAGCATTTAGATTTTTTTTTTTTAACATTATGAAATTATTAGAAATAATTTCCCAAGATTCATTAAGCTTCTGGCTTTCTCCCGTGAACTTTGAGAAATGTCCTTCATTAAATATTTAATCAATTAATTGTCGATTAAAAAAGTCATCCATCAAGGGCTCCAAATACTTGATTATGTACGGAGTATCAAAAACTCACGTAAACGCCAAAAACTCACGTAAACGTCAAAAACTCACATAAACGTCAAACCTTCAGATGACATAAGGACATATATAATGTAACCAAAAATACGCAAATGGGAAACATCATGTTCAGATCCACATATAAGTTCAAGAAGGGAGTATGCTTAAAAGCATATGAGCCATTGAACTTTAGGTTCATGATCATAATGACATATGCACAAATATGACATATACGCAAACATTACTTGTTTGGCTTTTTCAGGAGTGTCACTTTGAGGTTTTATTTCATTTCCTCAAAGTACAAAATTATTTGTGTGCTTTAAATTTATTAGTCATTTTATTCGCATGATGTCCTTAAGGGACTTCAGGGACAATCAGTCACATAATAATATTTGTAATTGTGTACAATATTCTGCAAATTAATTATTATTTGAACTTCAATTTCATAATCATTCGGGCATATAACTAGATAAGTTTTCTTTCTACACAAAGCTTCTAAGTCGAAAATGATAGGTGAGTTTCACTTTCTATGGGAGGTTTAGTGGATGGATAAAGTAAGAGTGGTCATTTCTTGGTGCTTGGTCGAATGGGTGCTTCAAGAAAACAAAGGGAGGGGTTTGGCCATGGAGAAGGGAGAAAGAAGGAGAATCTCGTACGAGAGGAGAGAGAAAAGTGAGGAAAATGAGAAATATGACCCTTTTCGTGTATTTGACCTTTTCAACTTAAGCTTTTTTCTCTTAAATAAGACTTTCATCCTTTAATTCCTACACACCCACTTTAATCCACTAGATATTAATTTTAGACTTACAAATTAACATAGAATGAGTTTCATTAAATTATTTCTAACCTTTTGGTAATTTTTTCTTGATTGTATTTTTACCTCAAAACTTTCACAATTTGCACTTTTATCCTGAAAAATGATTGAACTTAAAATTTAAATTTTTACCTAACAACCTCTTTTAATTATTAAATAATTTTCAATTATTTAATTTAATTATTCATATTATTATAGGTAATAACATGGATGAGATACAATGGATGAAATCCTACCTTGATGATCGTTTTAAAACCAAGGACTTAGGCATGCTTCGATTTTTTTTTAGGCCGGAAGTATCACGTTCTTTTTCTGGTATTTTGCTAAACCAACAGAAATATACTATAGAGTTGTTGTCTAACGTCGGGCTCTTGGCATCTAAACTAGCGTCAACACCAATGGATTCATCCCTCAAATTATGTTGTTCTCTGGGAAAACCTCTTGATGATATTTCTTCCTATTAAGAGCTTATTGGATGACTTCTTTATTTGACCACTACCCGTCTATATATTAGCTTCTGTGTGCAATAACTTAGTCAATTTTTTTCAGCTCCAATCGATATTCATCTTTCTGCTACTCATCGGGTACTCAGATGTCTAAAGAATTCTCTAGCCAAAGGTCTCTTTTTCTCAGCTTCAAGTGATCCTCAACTTAGTGGCTATGTTGATGCGGATTAGGCATGTTGCCTAGATACAAGATGTTCTGTCACAAGCTTCACTATTTTTCTTGGCTCATCCCTCATGTCATGGAAATCCAAGGAACAAAACACAGTGTCTAAACTATCCATGGAAGCTGAGTATATAGCTTTAGTTGTCATCACATGTGAGTTACAATGGCTTTATTTTCTTCTCAAAGACTTTCACATTACACAAACAAAAGGAGCTCCTGTTTTCTGCGACGATCGATCAACTATTTATCTCTCCCAGAGTCCTGTCTTCTATGAGAGATCCAAACACATTGAGTTTGATTGTCACACAACTCATGAGAAGATACAAGCAAGATTGATCCATCTTCTTCTCATTTCATCAGCTTACATATATCCAATGCAGATGCAAGTACACCTAGTGTAAAATTAAAATGAGCATGTGCAAGTTTGTAAGTTTAACTTGTTAGTTAGTTGAGTTTGTTCATTTAGTATCAGTCTCGATCTCCACTATATATGAACGCATAGACTCTCTGATATAACTATCTTTCAGTGTATTTTTCTGATATAATAATCAAGTCTCTTTCTTCTTCATTGTTCTTTTCTCTCTTCAATGGATTTCTTGTTTCATAACACATATTTTAGTTTTACGTATATTTTGGTTTTTAGCACCATTTCGATACATCTCGTTCGAAGCTCAATACTTGATCGTGATATCATCCCATTAGAAGATTTAAACTTTAAAGCCCATATCCTTTTTAGAAATCAACTTATCAAACTTGGACTGAGTTCAACGTTTTGTAATTAGGCCTAAATACTCCTGGTTTGATTAGAAAGAATAACGAACTTGCGTAAAAATCTAAGGGAGTATATTGGATTGGGATTTCAAAAGATTTTAACGGATTATTTTTGGACAAAAAATTCATTGGTATTCAATTAGGATTTTAAAGGATTCAAAAAAAATCATGTGGTATTCGATTAGGATTTTAAAATGTTATCCAAGAGTTCGTCAAAATTCATTGGTATTCAATCAAGATTTTAAATACAGGAAAAATAATCTTGTGGCATTCAAAAATCTTACGATTTTAATGGATTTTCTATTGGTGTGGATTTCGTGAGACTTTTTAGTGAGAAATATAATTATGATGTCTCTTTCACAATCTCACCATAACCCCTAGAATTTTTTGAGATTTCTCTATTGCAGTGTCTTCTTCTTCCTTTGATGGGCCGACCTGCTCGAAATCGAGTTCCGCCATTGGAGCTTTGTCAAAGCTCAAAAACAACATATTTTTGAGTAATTTTCATCACAAAACAACCTATAAATAACAACCCAACAAGAAATTCATCTCAAAAACAGTATATTTTAGAGCAGATTTTGAGAATTTTTGAAAGTTTAAAAATAATTTTTCAAGCTATTGGTCGTCATTTTTCTTGGTTCGAAAATATGTGATTTTTGTATTAAAAATAACATAAAAGAGTGGGAAAACAACGAGCTAACAAAAATCCCTCAGACCAATTTTCATTTTATATCAATGAAACAAGATCGATTTAAAGAAAGATTGAAACTTTCATAATATGAACCCAATTCAACCCAAAAGTTTAAGCTGGTAGGTGCCTTTGGTGTCCATGGATATGGATGTCATTTTACTAATGAAAGCGATTCAAAGCCTGAAAGATGCGCTGTCCTAAGCCGCCTTAATGGAAGGGAAATTTCAACCTATTAGTCAAATGTGAGAATGAGCGGCCGATCGGATAAGATTCTTTTCCTTTCCTTCCTTAAAATCCCAGAGAACTCACTTATAGAAGAGCTTAGCTACAAATCTGACTTGATGCTACATTAATAATTTTATATATCTCAATATACCCCCTCACAAGAGATCATCACAAGGGGGCGTGTTGAGATATATAAAACCCTTCAAGTCTAGTGGGCTTTCGTGTGAGGGGGCGGTCTTGCTTACCAAAAAAAAAAAAAAAAAGCCTTAACCTGTGTGATAGACCGGACTTGCTTACCAGTCCGGCCTATTTAACCTTAACCTGTGTTGGTTAAGGCTAAAAAATCTACAATAATATAGGTTCTCATGGTCCAAAAAAGCCTGTATGAGTTAGGATCAACCCGTGGGCTTTCCAAAAATTTAATACGTATTTTTTATTAAAAATAAGAGAGACCATACTTGATATTTATTAAGGTAAAACCTTATAAAACAGTCCCTTCGGGGACATCCGATAAAACCTTATAAAAGAATGAGAAATAAAACTTTGACTAAAACTAAACTTTTATCTTACATATTTTGTATGGTTGACGACTAGCCATCATTCTACTATAATTTTTTTAGTATGATGTATTAAATTCTGGGACACATACATGCACCTGTGACTTATTACAATATCCGAAATTGATTTGTATTAGCAAAGTGCCATGCTGAATTGCTGATATAGAGATATAGCACTGAGGAAGCAAATTTGATGTCTCCAATAGCCAACTGTACAAATAGCTGCCAACATATGTGCTACTATTAAAAAACTAAAATCTCAATTCAAATCCACAAGCTTACATTAATTGAACGAGTGAAATTTTATACATGTATAAAATTATTTTCCTAAACCTTAAACCTGAATTGAGCAATAGAGATTCCATCATTCCACTGCCAATGATTATTTGAGGCTCTAAGGCAAGATTAAATTATAGGCTAGGCAACATTATCCCATGAAATTATCACTGAATAACATTGACAATGACAAACACTAGTTAGAAACAAAATTACTACTTGTTCAAACAAATGAACAATATTAGTAATTGTTAGAACGTATTTTCTAAACATGCTAGTATTTCTCTGTTTACTTTTGGGCCAATGTATAACCGGTTGTTTGCTAAGGCCCATATATTAACAATTGTTAATTCACCTGCACATCAATACGGTGCCGTTTTGTTTAGTTGCAATAAATGATAAAAATAATGCACCCATTCTCTTATCGTGTAACTAAGCATTTTGACAGATTCAATTTTTCAGTCTCTCTCTTCTTTTACAATTTGTTCTCTCAGATTAGTTGCTTGTACTTCACCAATAATCTGATCTCCAATATAGACTAGGAACTTAAAATTCAAGCGTTGAGATACTTACACAGCTCCAAGATATAATTATCCATGATATTAGAAAAGTGAAGGGGAAGAGAAGCAAGAAAATATATTAAAAGTTAAGCTTATTTACATGTGTCTGCTTTCTGC